GAACACGGTGATGTGAGCGGATGGGCAACTGTTTTCATCAAACTTCTCGAATTCCGGGGAATTAAATTTTGAAGGAAGAACCAAGTCCGATACTAAGTTGAGTTACACGTCATTGACTCCATGGTAGTCATGGTATCCTTTAACTACCTTCATTTGGCCCTCCAATCGCTTGATTTTTCCTTCCATCTTCTTTGCTTTGTCCTCTTTGTCCAAATCCGGTATATGGTAATAACCCGAATTATTCTCATGGTTAGATACAACAGTCTATATCTTTGTAGCAGATGGGGTCTTTGCTTTTGCAGCGGATGAGTCCCCTTGAAGTTCTAGTAAGATTCCAAACGAGACAACCACTTGCGGGGTAAGTGGCATAGCTACCCCTTCCAATGAACCTGCCCCAGGTGCACTTATTTAACGTAGTCCAGCTAGCTTGGTAACAATCTGATCGACCAATGACTCTTGGCTCTTCGTGATTATATCCAGAGTACTCAGATTCCTCTGGTTTATCTTATCTTCTAGCTCTTTCTGTAACTTCATCATATTTTCCTTGAGTTGAGCAATTTTTGCTTCCATCTTCTTCTTTTTCAGGCAGGTGTTATGCGGATGGGTGTGTCCAATGCTTGAGGTGGTGTATCCAGTATGTGTTCCTTTCGATGAGACATGCTTCTTGTTAGTTAATGCGAATGTAAAGAAAAATAACAAAAATGCAAAATATGTCTAAATGCATGATGCATTAAATGTTTGAGGCAATGATCTAAAAATGTGTCTGTTATTATAAATAATCCTCATTGGGGACAAAATTGTTACGTCTGAAGAGACAAAAAACATTTTGATAGTATATATCCCGAATAGCCTCTGACAAGTTGATTCTTCTTCCCTTTTTTTTCTGTCACCGGTTGAGTATCATGTCGAGCTGTTCCAGCTCCTTTGGCTAAACTGTTCAAGTGATGAGATACTTGCCCCAAAGAAGTCTCGAATGACTGCATCTCCGGCTTTCACTCTTTATTGAGCCTATTCCTAATGAAAGTGCCATTGGGGCCCACCATCTATAGGAAATATCCAAAGCTTACCTCCTGAACTTGTCAACAATGGCCTCCAGTTTCAGCTACCAGTTTGTCATCTTGTTCTTGTTGTCTTTCAAGGGACTCCCTAGGTCAATAACATTTTTTCTTGTCTTGCCCCTGCAACTTTCGCCATCCCGTTTTGGAAAAGTTGACTTTTTACAAGCTTGGTGGAGACCTGGTCCATTCTAAGTCTTTTCTTACCATAGTTGGACTTCTGAGCTTTTCATCTCTTGTATTATAACCCCTTTGTCCATTAATGCAGACTGTTCATGTTTAACAAACACGTTTTTGGTGGATCAACATCTATTATGAATGATGCAAATGATAAAAATAAAATAAAAGAGTACAAAAATGAAAAGAGTTAGTGAGGGGGAAAAATAATCAAAATAGTCATGAAAATAAAAGTCTTACCCCACATGATATCTATCCCACATTCTTATTATTCCTACCCGGATATGGCTTTATCCCGCATGCTACTTTCAAACAAATCCTAACCGCATATTTATCTAGTTTGCATGCTTTGAACATAAAGTAAAGCAAGAAATAAAATCACAGCAGTCTGGGGTTTGGAATGAGGTTTTGGGGTGGGCTCTAATTCCCTGTAATCTCCCAGTTTAGGTTCTAAAAAAGGTACTCGAGTTCTCCTTGCCGGTGCCCCCTTGGGCTTACCAGACCCTTAGTTCTAAACCCATCACAGGCTTGTGTGGATTAAGCTAAACTCGAGAGGACACATTCTCTTATGTCTGTGTAGTGAATAAATTCACATGAAGACATAAGGTATATGAATCTCGAAGGCTACTTGCTAGGTCTGTGCGGTGAATAAATTCACACGAAGGCGTCGCTTTTACCCCCACTTAAATAGGGTTCAGAGCTCAAGTATATAACCTTAGATAAAAAACAAGTTTGGAAAGTTGAAATCATTAAAAAACGATTACTACAACTATTTACTTGAAAATATAATCAAAAGTAAGCAATAAGGATCAAAATGTTACCTTAAAATTTAAACTTACCCTTTTCGTTAAAAAGACAACTGGAAATTACCTTAGCCTGACTCACTTACTTGTGTCCCCAGCGGAGTCGCCAAGCCGGAATGGGGCTTCGACTTAGGAAAATAGATTAGGAGTCGCCACCGATCATTTATTTAAAACAAATGGGTTGATCGGATACCTTATTTCTTACCTGATCTGCATCTTACCAAAGATGTGTCGGATTTGGGAGTCGGTTACAGTCAATGAAGGGTTAGCACCCTTGAACTGCCCTTTCAGTACTATGTAATTTCCAGTTGTCTTTAATTAAGAAAGTTGAAAGTTTAAATTAAAAGGTAAAATAACGATCCAAATGGGTCGGGTCATGGTCGGTCCGATGGGTCCACTATATAACTCAAAAACCAGAAACACATTTCATAATTTTTCACTTACCTCACTTGGATAAAAAACCCAACCCCATTTTCTCTTAAATATCTAAGTGTGTTCTTCATATTCTTCAAGAACGAAGAACACGCCGCCACACCAAACCCATCACACGGTGGCCACTGCCTCGCCGGCCGCCCTTAATCAACGCCGGTCACCGCTCATCGACGGTGGATCATAAAAAAAAATCCCGTTTTTCAAAACTTATCTTCTCTCACTATTAGAAAATCACATTGGTTTTTTAAAAAATTGGCCTCGGGAGGGTAGATCTGGGATAGATCCTCTCGAAAACCCTCTCCTCGGGTCATCGGCCGAACGTTTTTTGGGGCTTATGCGTGTTCAAACAACGAATCAAGATCCACATACATGCAAGAACGACAAAGGTAATCAATTTTTACCTATACTCTTTTCAAAATATAGAAGAAAAAAAACACTTCGATTGCTCTGGGTTTTTTTGATGATTTCCCTTTATATTTCTCTCGAATTTCAGTATGTATTTCGTGTAATATTCGTGTACAAACTTGTCCGTGAGTAGTGTTGAGTACATGGGTATTTATAGGGTTCGAATGCCCTTATTTTTTATGTTTGATTCCTAGTAAAACACTAATGCTTCGTGTTTGTTGGTATGTTGGACTGTTCCGAGGAAACCGGCGTGGATGCGGGTCGTTGGGGCGAGGGAACCGACGGGCGTTTCGACTTTGTTGCCTTTATATGGCGCTGAGAAGGGAGATATGGTTAGGGTTTTAGAAACCCTAAACTACTCAGGTTCTTAAAACCGATCTGGGTCACGTGGGTAGCATGTTTTGATTGCTGGGCCTTATTCCTGATTTTTTGGTCTTGGACCTGTACATAAATATGTTAAATTGTAAATAAACATATATATATTAATATCATATAATAATATATATATATATATATATATGCTATAATTTGGGCGAACGAATTAAGTGTCGTCAGGTATAAGTGGTTGAGATTAAAAAAATTGAGCTTATAAGGTCAATTGGATCTTAAATATATCTTGGCCCTAGACTAAAAGAGTCATCCATAACCTAAACTTTTTTATAATTAAAAAAATGAAAATGGATAACAATCATTTGATATAGTGGATGAGATACTAAATTTTTTTAATAAAATTAATGATTTACATTTTAACATTGTAAAATGAAACAAATTGAATTATGAAAACTGTCTATATAATAAATCAGTATAAAATTTAATATGAATTAATTGTTTAATAAATTAAACATTAATACTTAATTAAAAACATAAAGGATGTAGTGCTAGAAGCCTAGAAACTTATATAGACGGGAATAATTAATTAATTAATTAATTAATAATGGCTCTTGTGGATGGAGGGGGTCACAGTCGAACAAAGCTGTCCTGCCCCCAATTGGAAAATAAAGTATTTTATAAATTCAAAGAAATATTCGTCAATGATAACATCGTCACCAAAAATATCTAACGCCAAAGTATTAGCCATACGACAAGTGTCACCGCAAACTAGTTATCAGCCACAAATTTTTACTTTCTTTTAACGTTCTACCAGCACAATTAAATAATATATTTGCTGCCTTCCCAAGCTAACGATAGCCTTTGGGAGCTAATATTTTTTTTAACCTTCTTTGTTAATTGCACCAAGGGCCTCAGCATTAATGGTTCTCAAACTTTATCTTTAATTTAAAACTAATTTAGACATTAAATATCATTTAAAATTTGACATAATATTATATATATATATATACTAAATTTTAAATATATATAAACTTATTGTTCGAGTTTTTTATTAATTTAAGATGATTATAAGTAGTAGCATTTTTTTAAAGATTTAATTATTAGACAATGAACTCTCAAATATCTTATAGTCGTTAATGCTCAAATCCTAGACCTCTATGGATAACAATCATTTCTTTAATCAATGAAATCGTTTTGTTCGTGTTTTATTATTTGGATTTGTATATTTGACTTATTAGAAGAAATTTAAAATAATATGTTTTAGCATATCAGATTTAAATTTTCTCATACGATATTTGAATTAATCTTTCTTTATTAGTATGTAGTGAATATAAGCTTATATTTATTCATAATTTTTCTGAATCATTGACACGTATATTGTATATATACGGTAAACACAACTACTTAAACTCTAAATTTTTTAGAGAGAAAACAATCTCTTTTATTAATGAGGCTACTCAAGAACTTATAATCGAATTAATTCTTAATACCTCGTATGATTATTGCTTACCTGACATGATGATTTGATTGATAAGAATTAATACTTGAAGGATTCAGTTATATTGTTTTAAAGTTTGGGACATTTGTTGTAATTAATCCAAAGTTGTTAAACGGTCCTCGTCCTTATCATCGAAGCCACCCCTTTCGTTTTCACCTTTTTTTCAACTATTTTATTCGTCCAATCAATTGCCGGTTTGACGTCATGGAAATAATGAAGGCGTGCTCCTCATAGACTTTTTCTAACCTAAACCCAGTTGGTGCGCCTCTTTTATGCTCTTGTATATATACAAATTGTCTTTGTTCTGATCATTCATCTAAACAATCTTCGATTCGAGAAGAGTTTTTGTGATCATCTTTTGAGTTGATCATTTAGTGTAGGTTGATCCGTAATCTTTTGGTTTTTAAAGGCTGGAACCTTTTACGCGAATGACAAAGGTTTTTCCCAACGCTAGCTTTACCGTAGGCGATGCCGCCATCTCCGAGAAGCCACCGCAGCGTAAGCTGTTACCGGCGGCGGAAACGAGGGAGGAGGCGATTCTAACCGTCTGGAAAAAGTCATTGCTCTTCAACTGTAATGGCTTCACGGTGTTTGATTCTAAAGGCGATCTCGTTTTCAGGGTTGATAATTACATGGACGGCAACAAAGGTGAAATGCTTCTCATGGATGCCAATGGCAACCCTCTCCTCACCATCCGCCGCAAGGTAAAACATTAGTCTTTTTTTTTTGGGTAAACTATGTATTTATCAGCCACCTATTTTAGGTTTACTTTATGATTTAATCATGTTCATATGGTCAGAAAATGAGCCTCGGAGATCACTGGTTCGTTTACGAGGGTGAAACCATGGTGAATCCCAGATTTTCCGTTAAGAAATCGATGAACATCATGAACACCAAGTGTTTGGCTTACGTTAACAATCGGAGTAACAGCGTCGTGTACGAGATTGAAGGCTCCTATTCGCGACGGAACTGCGCCGTGTACGATGATAAGCGGCGGGTAGTGGCGGAGATCAAGCGGAAAGAAGCTGTCGGCAAAGTGGCCTTCGGGACCGATGTGTTCCGCCTTATTGTTCGGCCGGAGTATACCGAAACGGAATCCGCCATGGCTCTGCTTATCGTTCTTGATCAAATGTTCGGATCATCGAAACGATGAACTCTTTTTTAGTCCCTAATTTTCTTCAACCAAAGAAAAAGTAATTGGTTTGATTGATGCATGAGGCTTGGTTTTTTTCGTTTTAGATAAAAAACCAAAGTGCCGAATGGGGATGTACATGCATTCAGCAGATGAAAGAATAAAACCTTTTCCATCCAAGTTTTTGTGCATACTAATATGTATTAGTGACGACTGCAGCTTTTAGTCAAACTGAGATGGAATCTCAGCCGACGAACAAACAGACAAAGCACATCTACCACTTCATTTCCAATGCAAAACCTTGTTGTCGGTCAGATTTAAAAGGCTCCACCCTAAGAGATAGAAAGCAAAATTGGAGACCAATCTATTGAAAGCTCTAGAGAAATAAGTGACGAAAAAGATGCATTCGTTCCATATCATCGAATTCCGGATTCATTCGTTCCATAGATTTTTTTAGGTTAAATTATGTGTTTAATATTTAAACTACCAATTCCGATTCGTTTGAGTATTTAAACTTTAATTTTTTCTAAAATTATACCTAAGATTTAATTTTTATTTCATTTTAGTATTTCGTCATTAAAAGCTTAACTAGATATAGGCACTGAGCATGGGGCGGGGCGAGGCAGGGTTTTGTCTGCCCATATGTAAAACCCGACCCTGTCGTGCCCCGAGGATTTTTATGTTTTTTCCTGCCTCAAACCCGCCCCAATTTTTAGACTAAAAAACAACCCCGACCCGACCCGAATATATTAATATTTTAAAATAATTAAAATAATATATTTTAATATATTTATATTTTTAATAACTTAGTAATATAAAAGTAAAAATTCTTAAAATATTATATATATATATATATATATATAAAAACTGTGTCGGGTAGGGTCATTGATTTTTCACCTTAAACTGGCCCAGCCCCGCCCTGAATTTTTTTACTACATAACTCGCCCCGAGCCTCGAAAATTCAAAAAGAAAAACTGGGTTCGGGTATTTTGACCATCCCTAAGCTTAATGGACAAGCTTGTAAGTTGTTGTGATTACAGTCATCGATCGTCACATCCGTAGATTGATAAAGTCCAAAATTTTCATGTCATATATTTTTGACCCTCCGAACACAATTTTCCAAGAAATACTTCAATCTCCTAAAATCGATGATGGAGTCTTCGATTTTTTTCATCCTCTGATCGTATGATCCACCATCCAATGGAATTGGAACTGGACAATGTTGGTTAACTCATCATTCTCTCATGTCCACCGGAGTTATGCCACATCATTCTGTCTGTTAAATTTTTAATGGTAGATACTAAAATGAAACAAAAACTAAATGTTATGTATATTTGTTTTTAAAAAAAATTAAAGCTTAGATATTAAAACGAACTAAAACTGGTAGTTTAGATGCTAAACATGTAGTTTACCTATTTTTTAATAGTATGTGATAATTATAAAATATATTTTGTAGAATTTTTTTAAGAGTAAAGCATTTAAACAAAATTGTCCTTGACTTAAATACATGAAAATCTTACTGTATTTTTAAAAAAAAATCAATACATAAATATTAATATTATAAATAATTTATTTTTTAAAAAATAAAATCTTAATATATTATATTTTCGAGCTGCTCACGAGCTTTTCGAGTCGAATATCGAGTAGCTCGGTTCGGCTCCTGAGCTCGAGTCGAGTCCATTTGATCCGAGTATTATCGAGCCTTGATCAAGTCGATCTCGAGTAGCTCGCGATTTGTCTCGTCTCATTTACAGCCCTACCTTTGACTATAGGATATTATTTTATTTAATCCCCAAATAAAATCTTAATATATTATATTTTCGAGCTGCTCACGAGCTTTTCGAGTCGAATATCGAGTAGCTCGGTTCGGCTCCTGAGCTCGAGTCGAGTCCATTTGATCCGAGTATTTATCGAGCCTTGATCAAGTCGATCTCGAGTAGCTCGCGATTTGTCTCGTCTCATTTACAGCCCTACCTTTGACTATAGGATATTATTTTATTTAATCCCCAAATATTAAATGTTATAAAATGGTCTCGAGATTATATGGAGTTGCTTTGTTGATTCCCTTAACTATTAAAAGTAACAAAATGGTCACCCGACTATTCATTATGTTCTAAACTCATCCTTTTTGCGTTAAAAAATTAATAGTCGTCTAAGCTATATATTAACATGTTGACTAAGATATGATTATCGTTTGAGATTATGAGATCAGATTTTATCATATCTTAGTCAACATGTTAACATCTAGCTCAAATTATCGTTAATTTTTCAATGAAAAATATGAGTTTGGAACATAATGAACAGTCATGTGACTATTTTGTAACTTTTATAGTCAAGGAACCTAAAAAAATAATATCCTATAGTTTAAGGACTATTTGTGTACTTTATCCCTTTTTAATTGATAATATATAGTTTATAAATATGATTACTCGTAGACCTGACAAACTTGATCCGAACCTGATTACCTGAACTGATTTACCCAACCCAATACTCAATATTAACTCAAACATGATGATCAAACTTTATCTGAAACTCAAATCATACTCGATCCAAAATTTAGCTGACCCAATATGGACCCATATCCAATTTGACTTATACTGAAACAACCTGAACCGTAAGAAACTCAAACCAAATTTAACCCGAACTGAATTTAACCCAATCTGAAAGGAACCCAAATCGAAATCAATCCAAACTGAAAATAATCCAAATCGAAAATCTATATATACTTAATTGGACTTAAAACCGAATTAAGCCTAAATTATAACATTAACAAGACAAGACATATTTTTTACAAGAATATATCAATAATTCTATATATGTTTGACTAGATTCATAACAAATTCAACCCAATTGACTTGATCCAAATGTTGACCCAAACTAAAAATCAACTAATTCGATATTGACCCGACCCAAAATCTAACTAATCTGATATTAACCCAACCTAAAAGTCAACTGATCCGATATTGATCCGAACTGAAAAACAACCGTTTCGATAATCATCTGACCTGAAAACTGACCCACCCAAAAATTGGCCCGACCTGACCCGATTTATCATACACTCGAACTAAATCCGAACCATATCTTATCCAACCCGAATAAAATTAAACCGACCAAAACCCGAGCCGAATGACCCGTTTCCCACCTCTAATTGCTCGAATCTAGAATCTCTAGAATGAACAACATTCTCTTTTATCCTTAAAATTAATTATTCAGTCCATATACAATTAAAATTACAAAAATGTTAAGTTAAAAGAGGAAAATTTTATTCTAAAGATATTCCAATATTTTCATTAACTTTTTGATACATTTGAAGTTCACACACACAGATGATATTTAGTGAGTCTTTGGTGTCTTTATAAGCTGTAGTATTTGGTCAATTGCTACATTTGTCTCCTCTTCTCCTTTCATTCTCAATCTTTGGCCAAGCTCTTTGGCTTCAATCTTCAATTCTTTCCCAACTTGTTGAACAATAACCTGATTGATAATCCTATCAATTTCCTCACTTTTAAGCTTCCCGTTCTCTCTTGGAACCTTTATGCCCACACCAAACTCTGTCACCAACTTTGCATTATAAGGCGGATCATTTCTCATAGGCACTTTTGCCTCTCCCTCAAATATCTCCTCAAATATCTTTGAAAAGCTTTCATTAATGGCATCCCCACTTTGCACCCTCAACGCCCATAAAAACCAAACCCTGCTATGTTGCAGCCCCATGGCTATCTCCTCCATATCTTCCTTTGAAATGAAAAGCTCACTTCCAAAGGAAACCAACACAACCGAACCAGGTTCCTTCTTTCCAAGCCATTCCATGAGTTGAACATCATCGCCGTCACCGTTACACGGTTCTTGCACAAGCGGTCCAACTGGAACTACCTGTTTTCCTATTAACTCGGACATATGATCGGTATAACGAGCTTCGATCATTCTTGATGATTTTGATCAGTACCATGTTAGAAGATCTTCTCAGGCATTCCAAGAACTTCTTTGTTTCAAATACCGTTTTCGATGGCATCGAACAAGTAGAGAAAGTCCTTGAGTTGAGGTTCTTGGATAGAGTTTTCCATGTTGGGGTGGTTCTATTGTAGCTTCCTAATAATTCTATCTTTCTTTTTATCCTATGCAATACAAAATCTAAAGAAATGGTGAGCTCATACGTATATATATGATCATTAAAACATATGAAAGATTTAATAATATTATATATATATATATATATATATATATATATATATATATTTGTTAGAACTAAAACATAATAAATATAAAATCAACCAGGAACAAACCATGTCAAATCACAAAGAATAAAATACGAGGTACGAAAGTATACCTAAATTAATCGATAAGATGAAATCCTTGAGTATTTCTTTGGTTGTGATATTCCAAGAAAATAAAATTCTATTGAGTATAAACTCTCTGACGGGATAAGATAAATTACGAGATGATTTATTTCTTGGGACCATAAACCCTTTATATGACTGATTTAGGAATAAGTTATTTTATGTACCTATAACTCTACCCCTCATTAAATTATAAATACAACTTTAGTAGTATCTACACTTTTATTCTCACAATACTTCTAATACCTTATGACTTATAATCATGATTGTTCATTTAACTTTATGTCATATTTATGATTACAATATACATTAAAATATGTGCTCATACTTACGAATTTTAATCCAACAATCTCCCACTTAGGCAACATATGTTTCTTGACAAATGTGTAACCTTATGAGCTCAAAATTTGTTATCCTACAGTAGGTTTGCTATAACAATCTCGTCTATCAACTATATCCATATAGGATTAAAGCAACTTTTGTCATATCAATCATGACTAGACCCATCAATGGTCACATATATAAACACAGTAAAGTGGCATATATCAATCATGGAGCGTAGTATGGAAATTACATGCAATATGAACCACAAATGTCTATTTCCAAATCTATTCTCTTTAAATGTTAATGAGATCAAATTTTATCAAAATTAGAGTGTGAATAAACCAAACCAAACCTTATTTCTGTATAAAATAACCTTATAATAAATATCCTTAAACTCAAGCAATTGAAAGTGTGTTTATAACAGACGAACATTTTAAAGTTACGAACTCTCACTATAACTAAATATCCTTAAATGGTATTTCACCCACATGAGTAGTGTTCTCATGAAAGACCTTGGGTGGCAGTTCCTTAGTAAGTGTGCGATTATGAGTTTGTGTCAATATGCTCTATAAACACATAAACACTCAGAATTTTCTTTAACAACAAGAAACATAATGTCTATGTACTTAGATTTTAAGGTGTTTCTGTTGTATATAGAATAAAGGATTGCAACTTTGTTGTCACAAGATAACTTAAGTGGTCTTTTTTTATCAATCCATAATTAGCAGTTCATGTGATAAAATTTTACACCCATATTCTAATAATTTAGAGTCTATAAACTCGATGATCTCTTACTTACTAGACTTTTGATATATATAAGTGTATAATATTTTTGTTATTAAATATATTGTATGAATTAATTTAACAGTTATCCAACGATTCATACCCAAATTGCTTAAATATCTACTTAATATCCTAAAATCATACGAGATGACTAAATGCGTAAAACCTGAGTATACATTAAACTCTCCAGTTATCTATGAAGCATAAGAAATCCTTTTGTATTTTCTTAATTTCAAAATCATTCTTAGGACACTAATCAAGACTAAACTTGTTTCCTTTAGTAATAAGGAGTATTACTTAGTTTACTCCCACTGAACTTGTAGTATATACAATCGTCAACCAAACTCACCTCAAAACCAAACGATATAATCAATTACCAAAATTTATTATACAATTAACGAGAGTCATACTTAAGTTCATAAATGTATTTTTCTAATTTTCATATCATTAATATTGTATCATTAGAAATAATTTTCTAATTGTGTCGTATAAATCATCTCATCAATTTTACCATTGAGAAACATAATTTTGAAATCCAACTTATGTAACTCAAAATCAAATATAAGCAACAAGTATAATGTTATCCTAAAAGAATTTTTCAATGAAACCAAAGAGAAGTTCTCTATAAAACTAATGTCTTCTTTTTTAGTATATCATTTAGATACAAGACATATCTTATACTTGTCAACATCATCATTTGCATTAATCTTGATTTTAAATATCCATTTGCAACCAATCAGCTGTGTACCTTCAGGTAATGAGACAAGTTCGCAAACTTTATTATCTTGTATAGAACTTATATTTTTCTTACATGACATTAATCCAATTTTGAGAGTTATAACTTTTATAACATGATGAAAGTTGACTAGATAATCCTCCATCATTACATTGTCATCCTTATTTCTTGGAGAAATGCAATATAGTCATTTAAATAGCAATTCTCTCATCTCGTGGATCTTCTTAATGACACTAGTTCTCATGATATATGAGGAGTTGTTCAAAATAATCTCGTTGAGATTCTAGATTGACTTATTGATTAACGACATGAATGAACATGTGGATATCATCAAAAGTGATAATAGGAATTTAGTTAAAATCCAATTCCTCCTCAAAAATCAATTCCTCAAACCTTATTTCCCCCTCCAAACTAAATATCCTCAAAAATAATGTTATAGACCTAATTTTAAAAATATTTCTAATTGTGATAACCTAAAAATTATAACCCTTAAATCATTTAGAATAACCAAAGTAGTTGTTTATTGTTTTAGAGTTCAATTTCTCCTCATATGCTCTAACTTACTAAAAAAGAGAATAACCTTTTGTAATATGTAATTTTCTTTTTTAGTAGTACCCTTAACTACATTCTGATTTTTTCCTCTTTTCCTTATATGCACTTTGTCGAAACGATTTTTTCTTCATGTGCGAGATTTTGGAAAACCGCATCATTTTTAATTATTCTCTTAAGATTACAATTTTTAATTAAAAACAATGTGATTTTAGAAAACCTCTCGTTTCAAAAAATTTGAGAATTCATTCACGATAAAAAACAGGTTCGAAGAGTCGCCACCAATCTTTGATTAGGGTGTGATTGGACACCCAAAAATGTTGTCATTTTAAATAAAAATTAATTTTAATTAAAATAACAAATTTAGGTTTACGTTACAAGAGAATAGGTTCGGGAGTCGGTTACGCGTGAGGAAGGATTAGCACCCCCACAACGCCCTAAATCGGTACCTCGTCGATTAATTAATGTCTTTGCAATGAAATTTACAAATTCGATTTTAATTTGATTTATGATCCCCAACAAATAACAACACATGAATTCCACCATATTCAAAAGCAACAAGATTGATTAAGTTAAAATTACCAAGCTTTTAGAAAGATAAAGAATATTCGATTATTTACAAATATCGAGACCATATCTTAAATAGTTATAACGACCTTTTCTCGATAAATTTAAATAGCCGAACATTTCTTTTTCTTCTATTCCCAAATTTTAAAGTGATGGATCATTTTTTAGGTGTCACTAATGGGATACACTTCTAGTTTAAAATCGTCAAAAGCGGATATCTAATCAGTTAAGACAACCCACTTAAAACAATTTTAAATTAAAAGAATATTACCCTTAATCAAATTATGTAATAGTGTCGAGTTATGTACATGGGAGTATCATGCAAATCATACCAAAATGATATTATGCCAGAATTAATTAAATAAATATTATGATAAAAAAACTATGTCATGTGATATACAAAAATTATATACATATATTATTAATTATAATATACCATATATGTATATATATATATAATATACATTACTTATGAATTCATGAGATGCAAAATACGTAAATAAAACAATTGCAGTGGTACCCTACGTTTGTCGGTTGGTATTGGTGCAACTATGGCAACAAGGTCAACAGATAACATGGTAAAATAAATGTTTAGCAGACAATTCTTGACAACATAATATTAATAAATAATAAATAATTAACTAAAGAGTGGAGAGCAAACATGCCACGCCAAATTATAAGTATCTCATGCATTCCAATAATTGAAATATATATATATACTAATCCATGTTACTAAATGATTTAGATAAAATAAGACAGAAACAACACTGATCATAATACTGTAATATATAAATGTATACATGCACAAACAGGTTAACACCAAATTATACTTTAAATATATATATACGATATAGCATATGCCTGCATGAAGCCCACCTAATCAAATACGAAACTTTGCATACAAATATGTTTACAGGTACATAATGAGTTTAGCAAACTTATACAAAAATGATGTCGTGTAAAAATTAATTAAACCAATAATATAATTAAATATCATGCAATATTATTTTAATACAAACAATTACACGCATATTATATTTCCACATATTATACCCAACATATATATATTAATATGTAAACCAATACGACTATAATGCAAAAAAAAAATAAATAAATAAATAACAAGTTAAAAATACAAACTTCAGAAAATAACCATTCTTGTTAAAATAGGGATTAAATTATATTAAACCAAACTTCACTACTGTAAATACAAACATAATAAGAATTAAAGTGTTCATGAAAATATTACCATATGAATACCAACAACTGAAATAAATTACTATTATCATTATGGATTAAAACCAGAATAAACCTAATATCTACAGGACCAAAACATAACATACAATAACTTGGAGCTCTAGTGTATAAATGACAAAATAAAGTAATCAACATTTATGACTAAAATTAAATAAACATGAAATACAAAGACCAAATTAAAATACAATAAATTAGATTTAAAGGACAAAACACCAATTAACCAAAATTACATGCTAAATACGTAAACCAACAACCAAAAAAACATAAACTAATGACTAAAAAGGAAACAATGACAAATGTGAAGATCAAATTATAAAATTGGAAACTTTAATTTAGTGACAAAAATTAAATGCATGCAACAATTGAAAACT